TCCTCTTCTATCTCATTCCCTTCCAAATTGTTCGGGGATGGATCCGGTGCAAGAGAAGCCCTTCTCCTCCACTTCCTCTACTTCCTCCTCCTCTATCTCATTCTCTTCCGAATTATTCGGGGATGGATCCTCCTTTGAATCCGGAGCTAGAGATCCAAGGGCTTCCCCTCCCCTTCCTCCTCCTCCTCCTCTTCCATCTCATTCCCTCTCGAATGGTTCGGGGATGGATCCTCATTTGAATCCGGATCAAGAGGATTGGGGCGGGTTATTTTTGGAGGGTGGGGGGGTGAGGGTTGGGGGGTAACCGAAACAGAGGATGAATCAATCGGGTTGCCTCTCCGGGCGTTGAGACGCTGTGTTTACACGGGCTCAAGGTCATGCTCCCCCAAACCCTCCTTCCCTCCCTGCCTGTCTGCCTGCCCTCCTTCCTTCCTTCTCTGCCCTCCAAGCTTCAGAGTTGCTTGAAAGGGGGAAAAAATGGACGATAATGGTGTTGGGAGGATAGAAAGGGTTCAGCGTTGGGCTCTCATCAAAGCTAAATGCCGCAAGACCCAGTGAATTATGCCGAGGCGACAATAGAGAGAACGAGGGAGAGAGAGAGAGGGAGAGAGAGCCCTTTCCCCCCCTTCTCCTCCTCCTCTTGCTGCTTTCTCCTTCTGTTTTTCCCCCCTCCTCCTCTCTCTCTCTCTCTCTCTTAAGGGTACAATGCCACTCTCTACCTACCTACCAAGCCGGGAAGGTGCTTCCAGGTGGTCGCATGGCTATGGGGGAGGAAGAAGAGCAATCATAACAATAAGGGGGGGGGGGATAGAGAAGAAAGGAAGGAGGGAGGGAGGGAGAGATAGAAAGAACTGCCAAGATTGGGCAGAGCTGGGCATTGAGCCCCCCCTGGGCCACTCTCTCTCTCTCTCTCTCTCTCTCCTCTCTCTCTCCCCCCCTTTCTTCTCCCCCCAGTCAATCATGTGCTCTCTGCTTCATTATTCATTGAACACAATCTTTCTTTTTCCCCCCTTGCTTCCTTTTTTTTTTTACTCCTCCTTATTATCCTTATTATCGTTTGGAACAACAACAAACAACCCTTCTCCCCCCCCCCCCAAAAAAACAAGCCGGAAGGGGGGAAAGGGGGGGGGGGGGGGAGACGGTTTCTTCCCGTGGATTGATTGATTGATTGATTTCTTCCTCAGGGTGGTATTTTGGTTTGGTTTGGGAAGCCCCCCCCCCCCCACCCGGAAAAGTGCCTTCAAAGATAAACAGAAACAAAACAGCTTCCCCCCCCCCCCGACCTTTCTTTTCTTCTTCTTCTTCTTCTTTTGGCATAACAATCGCAAGGGGGCCTGCGTGATTAAAAAACACAGGATAATTAAATATCCATGATGGCAGTGACGTTGGCGAGCAAAGGCTGTCAGGGGAAGGAAGGAAGGGAAGGAAAGAAGGGAAAAGTAAGGGACAGAAAGAAAGAAAGAAAGAAGGGAAGGGAAAGAAAAGGAGGAAGGAAAGAAGAAAGAAAGAGAAAGAAGGAGAAAAGAAAGGAAAGAAAAAGGAAGAAAGGGGAGAAAAGGAAAGGAAGGGAGAAAAGGAAGGAAAGGAAAGGAGAAGGGAGGGGGAGGAAAAAGAAAGAAAGAAAGAAAAGAAAGGGAGGGAGGGGAAGGAAGGAAAGACAGGAAAGGGAGGGAAGAAGGAAAAAGAAGAAGGAAAGGGGATGGAAGCAAAAAGCAAAGGAATGCAAGATGGAAAGAAGGGACACGTGATGTAAGTGCAAGAAAGAATAAAAAGGAGAGGAAGAAAGGAAAATGAGAAGAAGGAAAAAGAAAAAGGAGCAGGGAGTAGAAGGAAAAGGAAAGAAGAGAAAGGTGAATGAATAGGAGATGGAGAAGGAAAAGGAAGGAGAAGAAGGAAAAGGAAGAAGAAGGTAAAAGAAGGAAAAGGAAAGATGAGGAAAAGGGAAAAAGAGGAGAAGGAAAAGGAAAAGGAAGAAGAGAAGGAAAGAAAGGGAAAAGAAAAGGAAGGAAAAAGGGAGGGAGGGAAGGAAGGAAGGAAGGAAAAGAGAGAGGCGCTGCATTCGGAGGAGCCCATTGCGACTTCCAAGGGAAAGGAAGGAAGGAAGGAAAGAAGGAAGGAAGGGCTTTGAGGGCTTCCCTGCACTTCCCAGCAGGGCTCCCAAGTTGACAGGAAACTTTTCTTTGGGGAGACACCCCCCCCCCCCCCGTCTCTACCGCTAGAACATTGGTGGTGAGAGTAAAAACATGGGTCCGAGGTAAAAGTTTTGCCAAAGTCCATCTCTTGCCTTTTGCCTGTTTGGTTCCTATGTTAAATCTGTCTAGAAGATAGAGAGATAGATAGATAGATAGAGATAGATAGATAGATACTAGATACAGCTAGAGATAGATAGAGAGAGGTAGATCTTGCTTTCTCATCCTTTTGAATGGATGGAAAGGAAACTCCTCTTAAGTTTGGGCCAAACTTCGGCAGAAAGAGAGAGAAAGGGGAAGGGAGGGAGGAAGAGAGAGAGAGAGTTGGGGGGAGGTCAAGCCCTGCCATTTTCCGCCGGCTTTCAATCGACCTCTCTTCACGAAAAAGGGCGCCCTGGGCTGAAGGCTGGCGAGGTAACGTGGCTAAGGAGAGAGAGAGAGAGAGAGAGAAGGAAGGAATGAAAGAAAGAAAGAAAAAAGGAGGCTGGGAGAGGGGTATCTGCGCTTGGGACTTTTCTTTCAGGCCAGTGGGAAGGATGGGGAAGGGGAGCCGGAGGGGGGGTTGCTGTGAGTTTTCAGGACTGTGCGGCCAATGTTCCAGAAGCATTCTCTCCTGACGTTTCGCTCGCATCTCTGGCAGCCATCTTCAGAGTTTGGGAGATCTGTTGGAAACTAGGGAAGCGGGGTTTCTCTATCTGTGGGATGATGCCCAAGGGGGGGGGGGAGCAGGAGCAGCACCTGCTGCTACCTGAAGAAGGTACCGTGGAGTTTCCCCCTCCCCCCCTCCTTGCCTGCTCACCTGCCTCTGTGTGGGTTCGTGTTCCACTCACCTCTTGATCTTGGGAGACTTTGGGGTTGGCTGCGGGAAGGGTGTCCCTCAAGTTCCTTCCTCGAAAGATTCCAGAGAGAGAGAGAGAAGGATGCCCCCTTCTCTCTCTCCAAGCGCCCCTCCCCTTTGTTGCCAAGGGAGGACGGACTGGGGGGGGATTCATTCAAGGGGGGGACCGGACCCCGAGAAGCACGCGCTTTCAGGGGAAGACTTGGCTCTGAGGAGGGGGGGGGAGGGGGAAACCCCACAAGCAAAGCTTGGACAGCGGACCCAAAGCCAAGACCCCCCCCCAAAGAGAGAGGAGAGAGTGAGTGAGAGTGAGAGAGAGATAGTGAGTGACTGTGTGTAAGAGAGAGAGGGGGGGGGCCTGCTTTGGGGGCAAAGGTGTCGCCTGTGCTCTTTCTCCTTCTCTCTTTTCCTTCCTCTCTCACTCTTTCCCCCTCTCTCTTTCTCCCTCTCTCTTTTCCTTCCTCTCTCTCTCACTCACTCTTTCCCCCCCTCTCTTCCTCTCTCTCTCTCTCTTCTCCCTAGTGAGTGTGCGTGTGTGTGAGAGAGGCTGTTTTGGGGGCAAAGGTGTCGCCTGTGTCCTTTCTCTCTCTCTTCCACTCTTTCTCACTCACTCTTTCCCCTCTCTCTCTCACTCTCTTCCCCTTAGTAAGTGAGTGAGTGAGTATGTGTGTGTGAGAGAGCGGTGCTTTGGGGGCAAAGGTGTCGCCTGTGCCCTTCCTCTCTCTCTCTTTCCTTTCTCTCTTCCTCTCTTTCTCACTCACTCTTTCCCCCTCTCTGTCTTCCTCTCACTCTCTTCCTCCTTTCTAACTCTCTCTTCCTTTCCCTCTCCCTCTCTCACTCACTTTCACTCCCCCCCTCCCTTCCTCTCTCTTTCTCGGGGTCTTTCCTTCGCACTTGAGCGGAACAAGGGAAGGAGATAGAGACACACACAGAGAGAGGGAGTGTGTGTGTGTGTGAGAGAGAGAGAGCGGCTGCTTTGGGGGCAAAAGTGTCGCCTGTACTCTCCCTCTCTCTCTTCCTCTCTCACACTCTTTCCCCTTCTCTTTCCCTCTCTTTTTCTTTCACACTCTCTTCCCCCTTCTCCTCTCTCACTCTCTTTTCCTCTCCCTCACTCACTCTCTCCCTCTCTCACACACTCTTTCCCCTTCCCTCGCTTTCTGTTTCACACTCTCTTCCCCCCTCTCTCTCACTCACTTCCCCCTCTTTTCCTCTCCCTCACTCTTTTCCTCTCTTTCCCCTTCTCTTTTCCTCTCTTTCTCTTTCACACTCTCTTCCCCCTCTCTCTTCCTCTCTCTCACTCACTTCCCCCTATCTTTCACTCACTCTCTTCCTCTCTCTCTTCCTCTTTCCTCTTCTCTTTCACACTCTCTTCCCCCTTCTCTTCCTATCTCTCTCTCATTCACTTCCCCCTGTCTTTTCCTCTCCCTCCCTCACTCTCTTTCTCTTTCATACTCTCTTCCTTCCCTCTCGTCCCCCCCCCCTCTCTCTGTCTCTTCCTCTCTCTCTTCCTCTCCCTTCCCCTCTCTTTCTCGGGTCCTTTCCTTCACACTTGAGCGGAACAAGGGAAGGAGGCAGAGAGAGAGAAAGAGAAAGAGAGAGAGAGAGAAACTCAGGGGAGTCCCGCAAAGGCGCAGACGCGAAGTTGGCCCGGCGCGCAAAGCGGAGAGAGACTCCGAGGGAAGAGGAGGAGGAAGAGGAGGAGGAAGCAGGCGGCCCCCTCCCTCCCTCCCTCCTTCCCTCCCCTCCCTCCTTTCCCCCCTCTCTTTCCCCGTCTGTCTGCGGGGCCGGGGTCTCTCCTTGGCCACCCCCGTGCAGTTGAGACTCACTCCAAGAGGGGCGCCTGGACTCTCCGCTTCCAGAGAGAGAGCGCTGCTGCCTCGTTGGGATCCCTCCTCCCTCCTCCTCCTCCTCCTCTTCTTCCTCTCCTCTTCTTCTTCCATCCACTCCTCCTCCTTCTCTTCCTCCTCCTCCTCCTCCTCTTCTTCTTCCTCCTCTTCCTCCTCTATCCTTATTCCAGGCTGGGAATCAGCGAGGTGTCCGCCTTGTAGAACTTTCCTTTCTCTCTCTGAGAAGCCTTTTGGGTCGCTTTGGCCCCTCCGAGCTGGGAGGCGAGAGGCGTGCTTCCTCCTCCTCCTCCTCCTCCTCCTCTTCCTCCTGGTTTCCCTTTGGCACCGGCTTGGCTTGCTCCCTTCTCCCTCTCTTCCTCGCCTCTTTGGAAAGAGAAGCATGAGAAGAAGGCTCCCAAAGCAAGAGGGGGGAGGAAAGTGACCACTCCCCCCCTCTCCTCCTCCTCCTTCTCTTCGTCCTCCCGGATGCTTGGATGCCGGACTGTTCCACCTGAGACCGAGGACGGGTGGGTGGGTCTCCGTGGGGGGGACCTGGGCGTCTTCCACGAACTTCACGAGAGGAGGAGGGCTTCTTTCCACCGGCTCGGATCGAGCATCAGCTGCCTCCATCCCTCCCTCTCTCTCTCTTTCTCTCTCTCTCTCTCCGCACCATTTGGGACCTCTTCCCCTACTGAAGGAAACTTCCTCGCCCACCCAAAACCGACCCCCTTTCCCTCCCCCAAAGTCCTTCCGACCCGGCTGATTATTGACTGAAAAGTAAGTGAGCTGCGAAAGTCCGTGAATAGGTCGCGCGGAGATAAAGAATAACAATAATAACACTTAATGAAAGGCTTCGGAATGACTCTCGCATTTTTTTGCTTGCTTCTCGGTCGTAGGAATTTTTTGGTATATGTTTTGGGCAACAAGGAAGGATGTTTGGTGGAATAGAGGGTGTTTTGTGGGTACCGTTTGGGGAGAGAGTGAGTGAGGGAGGGGGTGCTGCTCGGTGTCGTTGTGGCGTTGGAAGGCCTGCCTGTCACCTGCCAGGAGTTCCCAAGGAGTGGAAGGAGTTGCTCAGAGGATTCACTTCAGCACCAAGTCGGGAAGAGTTGGGTTATCATCTGTATCGTGATCTTAGATAGACAACTAGCTGCACCCGCCACGCGTTGCTGTGGCCAACCTTCCCTCCCTCTTTCGCTCCTTCTTTCTTTCTCTCCTTCCTTCTCCTTTCTTTCTTTCTTTCTTTCTTTTTTTCTCTCTCTTTATCTTTCCTTCCTTCCTTCTCTTCCTCTTCCCTTCCTTCTCACTTTTCTGCCCCTTCCTCTTTCTCTCCTTCTTCTTTCTCTTCCTTCTCTCTTTTCTTTCCTTTCTTTCTTTCTCCTTTCTTCTTTCTCTCCTCCTTCCTCCTTTTCTTCCTTTCTCTTTCTCTCCTTCTTTCTCTCTTCCTTCCTTCTCTTTTTTTTCTTTCTTTCTTTCTCTCCTTCCTTCCTTTTCCTTCCTTCTTCCTTCTCTTCCTCTTTCCTTCCTTCCCCTTTCTCTCCCTTTTCTCTCCTTCTTTCCTTCTTTTTTGTCTTTCTTTCTTTCTTTCTTTCTTCTCCCTTCCTTCTCTTCTTTCTTCCTTTTTCTCCTTCCTTCTTCTCTCTTTTCTTCCTTCCTTCCTTCTTCCTCCTTCCTTCCTTCCTCTCTTCCTCTTCCTTCCTTCCCTTCTTCCTTCCTCTTCTCTCCTTCTTCTTTCCCTTTCTTTCTTTCTTTCTTTCTCTCCTTCCTTCCCCTTTTCTTCCTTTCTCTTTCTTCTCCTTCTTTCTTTCTCTCCTTCCTTCTCTTTTTCTTTCTTTCTTTTTTCTCTCCTTCCTTCCTTCCTTCTCTCTTTCCTTCCTTCTCTTCCTCTTCCCTTCCTTCCCCCTTTTCTATCCCTTCCTCTTTCTCTCCTTCTTTCTTTCTTTCTCTCCTTTTCCCTTTTTTCTTCCTTTCTCTTTCTCTCCTTCTTCTTTCTCTCCTTCTTCCTCCTTCCTTCTCTCTTCCTTCCTTCTCTTTCTCTTCCCTTCCTCCCTCCTTTTTCTCTTCCCTTCCTCTTTCTCTCTTTCTCACTTCTCTCCTTCCTTCCTCTTCCTTTTCTTCCCCCCTTTTCTTTCCCTTCCTCTTTCTCACCTTTCTTCCTTCTCTACCTATTCTTGGACTGCAATCCCCAGCATTCTGTGTGAATCCTACCTACCTATCTATCTCTATCTAATCTATCTATCTTAACTATCTGGAGGATTGCTGGGAGTTGCAGTCCAGGAATAGGAAATTGGAAATTTCCAGGGATTGGGATGCTCTCAAAGAGATCCATGGAGAAGCAAGCTTGCATCTTGGAAGCAGTTCATTTGGATCATCCTCCTCTCCTAAAGGGCCTGGTCTAGGGGATGCTGGGAGGTGTAGTCCAAAAGAGAGTGTGGATATGCTATTGTGTGTTTTCTTTAATTTTTGCACATGCGCTGTAGCATATTTTTGCTTTTTCGGATTTTAAGTCTGCTGTGTTTTTCAGTATTTTTATGAGTGATGGTCACTTGTTGGCCTGAGAGGTGTCTTGCGTCCAAATTTGGTGTCAATGGTTTTTGAGTTATGTTAATCCCACAAACTAATATTACATTGTTATTTATATTGATATATTATAGTATGTGTGTGTGAGAGAGAGAGAGACAGAGAGAGGAGGGAAGAGCCCCCTGAGTTGCCTGGCATTTCATTAGGAATGGAGAGGACTAATGCTCCCTCCTTCCAAGAGTGAAGATCACTGGAGTCAGGAGACATTCCTCCAATCTTCATGTATATTGTCAAACGCTTTCATAGCTGGAATCACTGGGTTGTTGTAGGTTTTTCGGGCTGAATGGCCATGTTCTAGAAGCATTCTCTCCTGACGTTTTGCCTGCATCTATGGCAGGCATCCTCAGAGGTTGGGAGGGCTGAGGATACCTGCCATAGATGCATGCAAAACGTCAGGAGAAAATGCTTCTAGACCATGGCCATACAGCCCAAAATTGTGTATCTAAAATTATGATACAAATGATAACAAAACTCTTGCCAACTTGGTGCTAAAATGAACCCTCTGAGCAACTCACYTCCCAACCTCTGAGGATGCTTGCCACAGATGCAGGCRAAACGTCAGGAGAGAATGCTTCTAGAACATGGCCAATACAGCCCAAAATTGTCTATCTAAAATTACAATACAAATGATAACCAAACCCTTGCCAACTTGGTGCTAAGATGAACCCTCTGTGCAATTCACCCCCCAACCTCTGAGGATGCTTGCCACAGATGCAGGCGAAACGTCAGGAGAGAATGCTTCTAGAACATGGCCATACAGCCCAAAATTGTGTATCTAAAATTATGATACAAATGATAACAAAACTCTTGCCAACTTGGTGCTAAGATGAACCCTCTGAGCAACTCACCTCCCAACCTCTGAGGATGTAGGCGGAATGTCAGGAGAGAATGCTTCTAGAACATGACCATATAGCCCGAAAAAACCTACAACAACCCAATCTTGATGTGCATTTGTGAAAAACTGATGCCTCTTTCCAGCAAAGTGGCAGGTTTTATCACTTGTCTCTTTTTCCAAGCGCTGCTGCTACTATTTGGGAGAGTAAAAGTAATCCCCCTCCCCATAAAAGCAGGTGTGTTTGAGCCCCAGAAAGGGAGCTTTTGGGAAGGAGGCAAGAGTTGAGAAAGGCCCACAGTATGGGGAAGGGACTGTTTAAAAAATAGGGGACTGTTTGGCCCTCCACGGTGCGGGCTTTTGCAGTCATTCTGGTGTCATTCTGATGGCAGAAAGTCTCCAGATTCCTCCATTCAGGCCGACCTGCCTGATAATAATGACAGCATTGTGTTGTCGAAGGCTTTCATGGTCAGTATGTTAAACAAATGCATGAAATTAATGGAAAGGGAATTGGAGACAAAAAAAGGGATCCTTTGGATATGAAGTTAGGAGGAATAGATACTACTGTAGGAGAGACTAATTCTTTAGATATAGAAAAAAGTGCAAATAAACCATCAGCTTTAGGAAGGTTACGATGGAATAATGTAAAAATGACAGGACAAGATTTTGAAAATGGGTTCAGATCACATACGATCATGGCAGATCTGAGTTTGAAGGAATTTCTACAGCTAAATAAAACATTATATTGAATTATGAGACTTCAAGATTGGTGTTAACAAACATAAGGCTTGTGTTGACTTCCTTCTTAACATTGTAAACATTAGGTTCTTGTGGGTTTTTTCGGGCTATATGGCCATGTTCTAGAGGCATTTTCTCCTGACATTTCGCCTGACAGTGAGGTCACAACCTCTGAGGATGCTTGCCATAGATGCAGGCGAAACGTCAGGAGAGAATGCCTCTAAACCATAGCCATATAGCCCTTTACTCTTCAGTTGTTATTAGCAACTTTTAATTACAGTCCAACAAGCAGGGTTAGTCATTGCAGGCTTTAATATTATACTGGTGTTCCCAAAATTATTGAATTAGGAGACTTCAAGGTTGGTGTTAACAAACACAAGGCTTGTGTTGCCTTCCTTCTTAACATTGTAAACATTTCTGTTATCATATTGTCGAAGGTTTTCATGGCCGGAATCACTGGGTTGTTGTAGGTTTTTTCAGGATATATGGCCATAGTCTAGAGGCATTCTCTCCTGATGTTTCGCCTGCATCTATGGCAAGCATCCTCAGAGGTAGTGAGGTCACAACCTCTGAGGATGCTTGCCATAGATGCAGGCGAAACGTCAGGAGAGAATGCCTCTAAACCATAGCCATATAGCCCTTTACTCTTCAGTTGTTATTAGCAACTTTTAATTACAGTCCAACAAGCAGGGTTAGTCATTGCAGGCATTATTATTATACTGGTGTCCCCAAAATTATTAGCGCCATCCATACATCCTTCCATTCATTCCCACACATCATATTAAATTCACATTTATAAAATCTGTACATTAAATTTTTGTGACAAGTAGACTTTCATGGCCGGAATCACTGGGTTGCTGTGAGCTTTCCAGGACGTCTGGCCATGTTCCAGAAGCATTCTCTCCCGGGTCACTACCTATGAGGATGCTTCCCATAGATGCAGGCGAAACGTCAAGAGAGAATGCCTCTAGACCATGGCCATATAGCCCGAAAAAACCTACAACAACCCATTTCTGTTATCACTGTCCCAGTTCTTATCAGAGTTTACTCTTCAGTTGTTATTAGCAACTTTTAATTACAGTCCAGCAAAGCAGGGTTAGTCATTGCAGGCTTTAATATTATACTGGTGTTCCCAAAATTATTAGTGCCATCCATGCATCCTTCCATTCATTCCCACACATCATATTAACTCCACATTTACAAAATCTGTACATTAAATTTTTGTGACAAGTAGGCTTTCATGGCTGGAATCACTGGGTTGCCGTGAGCTTTCCAGGATGTCTGGCCATGTTCCAGAAGCATTCTCTCCTGATGTTTCTCCCACAAGCGTCCTCAGAGACCCCTCAACCTCTGAGAATGCCTGCAAAACATCAGGAGAGAATGCTTCTGGAACATGGCCATAGAGCCCAGAAAACTCACAGCAACCCAATGATAGCATTGATGTGCCTGCTCTTTGACAATTGCAATCCTTCTGTGCCCTTCTGTGTATTCATTTCTCCTTTCCCACATGAAGAGTGCGCTCTCTAGACTGACGTTGAGTCTTGTGCGTGGCATTTTGCAAAATCTCTCTATCCTGAACCTACACAAATAAATATTTTTCGGAGCATCCCAAGTTCATGTTCACGCC